GCCAGCAGCAGATGCTGCTGCTGCTGCTGCAGGCAGCAGCAGCAGCAGCAGCAGGCCTAAGCCAGCAGTGCCCAAGAGCGGCGCCGCAGCTGGCAATTCTGAGCCTCCAAACGCCAGCAGCCTGCCCTCAGCAGCAGCAGCAGCAGCCCCAGCAGCAGCAACAGCAGCAGCACCAGCAGCAGCAGCAGCAGCAGCAGCACCGCCTGTGATTAGGGACATGGGGCCTCCAGCACCTTCGTTTCGCTTTTTAAATAATCCTGTTGGCATTGAGCCTGCGGCGTTTATTGAAGAGGTGGGCTAAGCCAATAAACGCTAAACCCTAAACCCTAGACCCTAAACCCTAAACCCTAAACCCTAAAGCCTGAGTCCTTTGCAAGGGTGACACTGCATAGCGCCCTCAGCGAGCACTAGGGCTTAGTTGAGGGTTTTGGGTCCAGGCTGTAGGGTCTGGGTTGTGGGGCTTGTAATCGAGGGCTTAGGGTTTAGAGTTTAGGGTTTAGAGTTTAGGGTTTAGGGTTTAGGGTTTAGGGTTTGGTGGGTGCGGCACAGGAGGACGAAATACTTCAGCGAGCGATTTCGATATCCCTAGAGGAGTTCATAAGGGAGCAGCAGCAGCTGCAGCAGCAGCAGCACCAGGGCACTTCCGACGGCCCAAGCCCTAAACCCTAAACCCTAAACTCTAAACCCTAAACCCTAGCTTTCGCTCTCTTGTGCATGTCCTGCATGCACTTTGGCCTCGGTGGCTTTTTCTGTCTCTTTCCCAGCAACAGCCCCAAGCCATCTGCTATGCAGTAGCTAGCTGGCCAGCTAGCTAGCCAGCTAGCTAAGTAGCTAGCTAGCTAGCTAGCTACCCAGCTAGTTAGCTAGCCAGCTAGTTAGCTAACCACCTGGCTAGTTAGCTAGCTAGCTGGCTAGCTAGTTAGCTAGCTAGCTAACTAGCTAGACTCCTGGCCAGCTAGTTTCTCAGCTAGCTAGCTGGCTAGCCAGCTAGCTGCGTAGCTCCTTGGCTAGCTAGCTGTGTGGCTAGCTAGCTGTTTGGCTAGCTAGCTGTTTGGCTTCTGAGGCATCTGGACCTTTAGCTAGCTAAGTAACTGGCTAGCTGCTTCCGTAGCCAGCGAGCCACCTGCACACAGCAACAGGCAGCTAGCTATCTGGCTAGCTAGCTGCGGGGCTAGCTAGCTAGCCAGATA